GTTTGGCATCTACTCAATAGGATTCATCTTACTCTATAGGATGGATTTTTATAATAATCACATCAAAAATATTTTTTGATTTATCGAACAGCATAAAATGCAATTTTTACCACCTAAATTAAAAAAAACTATAAGCATGTGTTTTGTATGCATAACTATAAATCCCTAAATTGTTCTTTAGAAAACATACTTATTTACTCGAGAATGAAATATGTAAGGCTGTTGAATTTAGTTACCTTGGTAACATCTGGAGTGAGCTACTCCATCTAAAAATACATCTCCTTCATTGTTTATATTGTATATGGAAATTGTAATTAACCAACATTTATGTGTCTTTCTAGGAAGTGATAATGTTCATCTTACCTGAAAATGAATAAATGATACACTGTTCAGTAGGTATAGGTGGTAATTTCAGCCTGAAAAAATACATATAGGATGATTTTTAATTATAATAGAAATTGGATTTGCATTATGCTAACATGAATTTGATTTAAAATGTACTTCATTTTACCACTATTCTTTATTGATAAAGATTTCTTTCAGTATACTTCTAAAAGGATTCTAGTATGAAAAACTAGTAAATCATATTTTCCTCACAAATTAAATAATTGATTTAAAATTTTTCCACTGTACTTTTCTTTCAATTTTCTTGGAAAGAAATAGCTAACAATCAGAAACAGTTTATTATTAAAACTTCAATCAGTGTGAAAAAGCATGCACATTTCTAGGTTACATGTACAAATAAGTTCTATTTTCAACAACACTAGACAGTTCATATTTAAAGGATTGTTTTTGATATTTTACATCAATAGCTATGGAGACTTTTTTGCCAGTTTCTGAAATTTTCTGAGTATATTTCCTCTGTAACATAAACTCCATTCTTAAATGGAAATATAACGTGAATAATTCAATAGTTTCATGATAGGAACATGCTTTAATTTTTTCACAAAATAGTTTTGAAAATCACTTTTAAGCTAGGCTCTAGTGCCTAATAACTTTATACCAGTTAACACCTGTACCCTAACAACCTAACTACTCAAGAGGCTGAGTACGGGAAGATAGTGATTTCAAGACAGCTTGTGCCAAAAAAAGTTTTTGAGATCTGTTTCCATAGAAAAATCTGGGCATGGTGGAGCACTCCTGTCATCCTAGCTATGGTTAAAAATATAACTAGATGACTGATCTAGGCCAGTCTTGGGAAAAGGCAAGACCCAATCTAAAAAAATAACCCAAACAAAAAGGCTGGTGGTGTGGCTCAGGTGGTATAGTACCTACCTGGCAAGCTTGAAGCCCTAAGTTCAAACCTAAGTACAAATGAAATGCCATTTGATTTTGTTTCTGATCAAGGCTTTGATATTCATTCTGCACCCTTGCCTCTTCTATGACCAATTTTATCTATCTTAATTTTATTTGAGGTACTCTCGATTGGACCCATGGTAGTACACATGCAGGAAAGCACTGTACTACCTGAGACCACCCCAGGCTTTTTGTTTGCATATGCATACATTACGTATATCTATGCACACATGTATGTGTGTGTGTATGTATGCATGCATGAAAGCGTGCATGCATGTATATACGTGCAGACATATATAGATATAGATATATTGGATATAGGGTTTTACTAATATTGCCTGAGCTGGCTTCGAACTTAAGACCTTCCTTTCTTGCTAATACAGTAGCTGGAACCCAGTTGGTGGTTCTCCCAATCTCGACACCAAAAGCTTCCCTGCTTTCTTTTGCAGTGTGGCTCTGCTATTTCAGTTTCAGTTTTCAGACATGCCCACTTAGGTTACTTTGAAATCTGTTCATCTCTCCAATATCTTGTGTTCCCTTCAAACCATTTACCTCAGCAGAGACAGAGTAATTGTTTTAACAGAAAAGTTTTTTGCCAGATGTGGTTTGTGGATGCCCACCACTCATGAGAGTGAGTAAGGAAGAGTGCCAGTTTGAAATTACTTAGTCTACACAGTGAGACTGGTCTGGGGGAATGTTTGTATACTACATATATACTATATGTACATAAATGTATATACTTACATATATATGTATTTTATTATATATAATATACTTTATTATGTTTATAATTACATGTTATATATTCCATATATTATATATTTTATATATAATAAAATATATATAATATTCAACATGTAATTATATATGATATATGCTTATATGTTTATATATTATATATTATACATGCTCTTATATATCATTATAATCATATCATGTAATATGTAGCATATTTATTATGTGTAATATAGTATTATAATTCTATAATATACAATACATATTATTTAGTGTATAGTATATAGTATATATTATTATGTATTAAAATATATACTAATAAAGAATAATATATAGTAATACATACTATTATATACCATATATATATATATATATACACATACACCAAATATATACTAGATATATTTGCTCTTGTCTACTCAGCTTAAATTCGAAGATCACTGAAATGCAAAAAAAATTCTTAAGTAGTCTTTTTCCTCCTGTTTTTTTCTTGGTTCTACTGTAGACTGTCTCATACAGAGAGTCTACAACTTGAACCACACCCTCAGGCATGTGTGTGTGTGTGTGTGTGCACGCGCACATGCTTATTCTTCAGGTAAGGTTTTTGTATTTCAACTCCCATGTTTTTTGCAGATGCTGACAGTCAGTTACTATCGATTACTATGCCTCTAGCCTAGCTGAAGTCACAGGCTTTCACCCCCCCCCCCCCCCCCCCCCTCCCCCCCCCCCCCACCCTCCCCCCCCCCCCCCCCCCCCCCCCCCCCCCCCCCCACCCTGCTTCTTGACTGAGATGGGGTATAACTGTATTGCCCTGCTGGCCTTTGTCTGCCATCCTCCCACTCTCTACTTCCGGAGGGGGCCAGTGGTGATTCTCTCTCTTCCTAGTTTATCTTTGTCATTCTCTTCTAGGTGCTCAGTACTCTAATTTCACTTCTCACTTGCCCTCATGTTCGCTTATCTGTGACTTCACAGGGGTTTCTCTGTGGTCTCTTTTTCTCTGGTCCCCAAATTCTCCCTCCCCTGAAACCTGGCTGAGGCTCAATTATCATAGATGTTGAATTGCTATCATGTGTTTTGGAGTTCTTCTCTCATGCCTTTATTCCTCATACTTGATCACAACCTTTTGATTCTGGTATTACCTGCATGTTTATTTTTCTTTGCCTCTTAACTATCTGTGAGCTCATTCAATGCAGAATCTCTAAAGTCCAGATATTTAAGTCCATATTGGCCACAGGTTACCCTTAATAAAAGTGTACTAAAAAATGAACAGCTGGGCGCTGGTGGCTCATGCCTGTAATCCTAGCTACTCAGGAGGCTGAGATCTGAGGATCACAGTTCAGAGCCAGCCTGGGAAGGAAAGTCTCTAAGACTCTTATCTCCAATTAACCACCAGTAAACCAGAAGTGGCACTGTAGTTCAAGTGGTATAGTGTTCGCTTTTTGCTGAAGAGCTCAGAGACAACACCCAGGCCCAGAATTCAAGTTCCATAACTGACAAAAGAAAAAAAGAAAAAAATGAATGAAAGGTGTAACTCTTTTAGAATTTAAACATTTATTTTTATTAATGTAATTAATTAGAGGGCCTGAAATCTTTCCTCATACCCTAAAAAATACTGCCTACTGGATGCTATTAGGAAATGAACAAAAATCACAACTTTTATCCTTCTCCACTTATAGCCACATGGTTTCTTAAAGGAAACAATTTTCCCATCTTGCTGTGTCATGATACTTTATTAGTAATGTATTTTTTATTTTCATAAATTAACCTCATAGAGATAAAATATGAAATCAATTACAAAAATAGAATGGTATTGTTTTAGGTAAACTTGTCTATTTTCTTTTTACAAGCTTGTGAAAAAATTGGCTCATATTTTCCTATATATTACAATGCAATGTGAAGAATACCTTAATATTGTAGCCAGTAAAGTATTGATTGACCAGGTATACTATTTTTGTTAATTTCTGTTTTGTAAGTTTTTGCTATTCTAATTAGCACTGATCTAAATGCATCTGTATTTTCACAAAGAGCCACACCATTACAACTTTTTAGGCTTAAAAGTCCAAGTAGGTTATAAACTGAATTAAACTTTAGGAATGCAGTTAATAATTTTGACACATATTCATTACTCATAATTATTGTACACTTGTGCAATAATGGGTGATACTTCTTTCTAATCAGTTTTCACCATTGGGAAATTACCATTAGCATTAACTGGGGAAAAATAAATCTGTTTGCCTAGTAATTATCATAGGGAAGCCAAAGGAGGATATTTGCAGGAGAGGATCACAAAGGCTCAATAGCCATGTGTATAAGATCATATAAAATGATACTTACCCAAATGATCTTCAAGAAGTGGAACCAATAATTTTTGTTTATTGTTATAAATTTTTATCTCCTTTGTCATTGTTTTTGTTTTCTGTACTTTTTGTCTTTATGTAAGTTTACATCTTTTGGGGAGGATGAGGGGAGCACAGAAATGCATAAATACAACAATGAATAAATATGGCAGTGCTACTAGACACTTTGTTGAAAATTCACTGTACAATGTGTAAGGGAGGTATGTTGAGAAGGAAAAAACAAGGGAAGAAGTGACAATGTTCACAAAGAAATGTACTCATTACATAACGGTAACCGTAACCTCTCGATACATCATCTTCACAATAGCAATAAATAGTTTTACTCTATTAAACTTTCTCTGCTTAGAGATTGCATTTGATGTAGCACCATTGTTTTTATAGCTTTATCTTTATATAACTTTATTTCATTTCTTGATCTTCATTGTGCCTTCTAAATATTTTTAAAAATCGTACCTATTTCACAAGGGCTATGGAGTAGGCTCAATTGCATATTATATGGTTTAAAATCTGTGGCAAAATGCAATACATACACTAAGAGCTTGGTAAGTGTAAGTTGAGGTAGAAATTGAGCAACATATTAATAAAATGGACATAATTTTTTGTTTCCAACAGATGATTCTGCTGCAGAGAGTTTTAATGGCAATGAGACTCTGGGGCACAGTTCAGTGGCTTCAGGGGGAACGCAGGGCAGGGAGACAGGAGACTCCAACAGCGATGGCAAGGCTGTGCTGGAACGGGATGAACAGCCACTGAACTTGAGTGACAGTCCCCTGTCTGCGCAGCTGACTTCGGAATACAGAATAGATGATCACAGCAGTAATGGAAAAAACAAATACAAGAATCTTCTAATTTCTGACCTCAAGATGGAACGAGAGGCTAGAGAAAATGGAAGCAAGGTAAGCTCATATTGAGATTCTCAAGGCAATTTGTAAGTTAGTCTGGAAGCTCAGAATGATATATCGATATGTCTACAAGTGACAAAAATTATTGCCAATATAATTTTTTAAACAAATTCCTGAGCTGGACATTGATGGCTCACGCCTGTAATCCTAGCTACTCAGGAGGCTGAGATCTGAGAATCACGGTTCCATTTTATCACAAGCAGAATATCTGTGAGACTCCAAGTAAAAAGCCAAGTGAGAGCGTGAGGCCTTATGTTCAAGCTCTAGAGCTTGTTTAAGTTTAAGTTGTTTAAGCAGGGATACAGGTGGACCCATTGCAACAATGAGATGTACAAGATGTTATGTTGAAAAATGAACATTACAACTTTGGTGCAAGGGGGGCGGAATGGGAAGTGATGGTAAGGGGAAACAAAGAAGGAGGCAACAATGCTTGATAAATGCACTCATTACCTTGCCCATGTAATTGTAACCCCTCTGTATGGTATTTACACAATTAAAAAAATTAATTAACCCACCCAGCAATCCCATTTTTGGGCATTTACCCAAATGACCACAAACAAGACCATACTAAAGCTACCAGCACAACTATGTTTATTGCAGCATTATTTACCATAGCTAAGATATGGAACCAACCCAGATGACCCTCAGTAGA